TGCAATTACTTAACAATAATATTTTTGTAAATTAAACTATTTTGGTATTTAAATTTAATTAAGTTTACAACGCTAGTTCGGACAGAGCATTTAACATACCTACTCAAAAATTCCAAAATCGTACGGGCCGCCGATTCCGGACCCTAGTTACAATTTGATAATTTGTTTACGTAAATCGGACATCGGTTTTCAATCAACGTGCTACGTAAGATAATCGTGTGTTCGTGTTTTTTACCAAAAAAAATTTATTTGCCATTTACAACCATTTCGTAAATTAAATTTGGTCTTGTATTATTCAGGACAACACTAATTAGGGGTATAATATTTTTTTTTTTTGAACACAATATTGTTCTATATACAGGTTACCCTCGTTAATATCAACCTATTTGAATTGGTTTTAAATCATGTTGATAGTGAGGTTGATATTAACGAGGTTGATATTAACGGGGGTAACCTGTATTTCTAAACTATAAATGACCCTTGCGACGATTTTTCTTATTATGTACTTTAGAATGTATAAATAAGTTACCCGGACAATTGATTTGCATTAGCCAATCAAAACAGTAACGGTAAACGGTAAACACTAAATTCTCGAATGTTCTATTTATGATCTATGACATCATAAACAATTTAGGAAACAATGTACATACATAAGCTTAAAAAAGTCCGTTTACTTTGATCACCAGTTTTTTTTTTAAACATGGCTACCGACAAAGAATTTAGAAAAAGTCTTCATGACATTATTATTAAACAAATATCTCGAAATAATCAACCTGAGGATGCATATAAGTGCATTGATACTTTAAACAAAGTTGTAGGAAATATAATTAAATCTCCACATGATGAAACAAAACGTAAACTTAAAGAAAGTAATAAAATTGTACATTCCACCATACGGGAAGTTGATGGAGGTTTTGAATTTCTTATTAAGATTGGGTTTAAGGCCAAAGTTGTTGATTTTCAAAAATCTTTTATTCTTGAAATCCCAAGAAATAATGATACATCACAATTGACGAAACAATTAGAAAATTTAGAAATTGCTCGTGAATTATTAGAAGACTTTTTGCAGAAAGTCAAAGAACGTATTGAGTTAAAAGAACGTGCAAGAGTTAGGGATAAGGTAGCAGAAGAATCTCGAAGAAAAATCGCCTTGAGTAAAATTGAAGAAGATAGAGAAAGACTCGCAGCCGAACAGGAAAGACTTAAACGAAACAGAAAATTTCAAAAAGAGCAACAACAAAAGAAAACTGAGGAACAGCTACAGTTATCAACAACGGAACAACCATCCCAGCAAGAGGATCATTTACTATCCCAACAAGAGGAGCATTTATTATCCCAACAAGAGGAACATTTACTATCTCAACAAGAGGAATATTCCTATCGTCCCTATCATTCGTCACATTTTCGTCAAAGATTTAAAGATCAAGACGATCAGAATCCTAGTCGTTGATATATAATGGTGATCGATTAGGAAATATTCGATCTTCTATTTGTTTGGTCGTGACCGATCATGAATTTTTTTTTTTTTTGTTTTTTTTTTTTTTATGGTCTGTCAATAAGTGATCGAACATATTCGATTATAAATAGCCACGCCTGATACTATGCATCACTCTATTATATTTGCTACAGTACGCACATTTTGTACAGTCCGAATCTCTTTATAATCTCACTATGAATCAAACGGATCTAGTTTGGAAACCTTATCCGCCTTATCTAATAATTAGGCTATTATTCTCATTTGAGAAAATTTTTATCTGTTTGTAATACAGATTTTATATTTGTCAAGACAAAAAGTAAAAACATAAATTTAAATGTAAATAACTTTTATGCTCAGACTAATCAACGCGAATAAAGAATTTTCAAATTTAAAATACAAAATCCAAATAACAATATTTTGTCTATGATTTCCCATGCTAATTCTGTAGCATTAATGTCATACTTGAGGTTAACACCTGTTTAAAATTACATCTGATGTTGAAATTTGTTATATAAAAATTTTTTGTACACAAATTTGTATGTTAAAATTTTTATAAAAATTTTTCATGCAAATTTGCTAGTGATTTTTAAGGGCTATGTAATTAGGCCGATAGTATACATCCCAACCAATCACCATCTATATTGATATATTTATTAAACCTGTTGGATATTTAGTATTTCAAAAAGATAACATATATTGATACAACTTTCCAATATCCAGTGATATGTCCAATAGTAATTAGTGTTTCCAAAGCGAAGGTCATAAGGATACCGTATTTTACCGTGCAAGATACCCCCCTTGATCGGTGTATTTGTACGTTTCAAGGTTATTTGCTGCGGTGTTTGTAAGATACCAGATACAAATCAATGGCTGGTTTAAGAATAAAAAAAAAAAAATTCTTTTAATGGGAAATGCCGGGTGTATAAGTCATGCAAGATTTAAAATATCCGGGTATCTTACACAGTAAAATTACACAGTAAAATAGGTATAGGGTTTCTAAGGAAGTTTCCTAACCGGATTTGCCATTAAGCAATAGTTATTTATGATCTATCGTGACAATTGAACATCCCTAAAATTATTAGTAAATCACGATAAGAATGATGCCTGAGCAAATCTCTATAGTATCTTTATTCGTATTATTATTTTATTATTAATTTTTATATAATAGCCAATAATTGCAGTGCATTACTTCGATCACTAAAAGAATAGCATCTAGAAATATGCTTGCTTGGCCTTAAATCTAGTTGTTAATAATTATAATTTCGAAGCTAATTGTATGATTAGATGGAATGTTATCCCACGACACACCATTGTTTTAATTAATTTGGATCTATGCGAAGAGTTTTGACATAAAGATATCAGAAAATGATATATCCAATCTAATGTCTATTGCTTTTGATTGGACAATTCGGATATCATTGTCCAAAATCCATTTATGCCAAAGAGTCTTCTGAAAGAAGAATTTTTATAAATTCATCTTCATTTACTATAAACGCATGATAATCACACAATGAAACCAGTTAAGGATAATTTATGTGCGTAAATTGTGAAAATTCAGGCAAAAGATTTAAGAAATTTATATCTAAAGCTTGAATTGTGTAATAGAAAGATATCATTAAAGAGGATACTTTCACCATCTTCATCCAAATCAAATTCATTGATCATTGCTTGAAGTTCTTCGTCATCCAAATTTTCACCTAACTCTTTAGCTATTCGTTTCAAATTATTCAACGAAATTTTTCCTGTATTATCATCATCAAAAAGCTGGAATGCCTTTCGAATCTCTTCTAGGGGTGATCGATTTAATATTTTTTCTGACACTAAATAGATTCAAAAAATTAGTTGGAATGAAGGGAAACGTTCCTAATCTCAAACAAAAAGAAATATATATATATAATTTTATAATAAAGAAATATATATATATATATAATTTTAGAATCTTTATACAATCTATATACTCACTAACTTTATCAAAATCCTCAAATGAAATGACTCCTTCATCATTTTTATCGTATTTACGTATAATTTCGAGAACCTCCGCCTTTTTCTCATTAAATCCTAAAGCACGCATGGCTACCTAACTCATACAATTTGTTTTAGTTTTAATTTTATTTGCATTTTCCTATTGTTTAGGCCAAACCAATTTGATTTGGTGGTTTACACTCTAATAAAATTTTCCCTTCGGAAAAAATATCGATTTATTTTTCAATCACTTTTTTTATTTTCACTCGGAATTATATACTCTGGTCTAAACTGCAAACCTACATACAACCATCCCTATCCGTATCCATATATATATCCCAATTTTTTTTTTTTTTTTTACTAAGAGGGTGAGGGTGGAAAGTAAAAGTGGGGAGAGAGGGAATAATGTAAACCACCAAATCAAAATGGTCTTGGCTTACGTACTTTTAATTCATGTGAATCTAATGCACCATCTTTATCTATATCAAATAAGTCAAAAGCTTCTTTTATTTCCACCCTCTGTTCGTCGGTTATTTGAAATTGAGGTGACAACCCGGGTACTACTGGTGTTGGATTGATATTGTCTATGGAACTGACTGCAAGTCGATTGTTATTGCTTTTTCTCCTTTGTAGTGTAGAACTCGTAGATATGCTA